GTCTCATCCCTGCCAGCAAGGAGCCCGTGACTCCCCCGTGTGCTCCATCCATACTTTATTCTGGAAACTGCAGGCATTAGAACTACTCAAGGTCCCCAAAGTGCAGGAGGGACATGCTGGGGGGGTAAGGTCTGGAAAACGGGGTGAGGGGAGGAGAAGAGGTGACGCCATCCCTTCCTGGGATAGCCAGGGTGAGCTGAGACACCGCTGGGGATGGGAAAGGGGAACTCAGGTGTGGGAGTGGAGGGGCTGGGGCTGTGGATCTGGGTGGGGAGCAGGGTGGGCGCACCCTGGGTGGGTCCTGGGGTCCCCTGAGCTCCGGGAGGAGGTGGCTCTGCGGTGTGAGGGGGTGCAGGGGAAGGGCGTGGTGGCTGGAGTTAATCCTCGTAGTATTTGGTGAGGAACTGGGTCTTGGCCACAGGGTAACCCAGCCCAAAGTCTTCCACGAAGCCCTTCAGGTCCCAGGAACCTAGGGAGAGAGGGAAAAGGGGGTGAGCAGGGCTGGAGGATGGGGATGCTCCGGGACCAGCTCCAGGCTGTGCTGCTGCTGCTCTGCCCACACCACATCCTGAACCCCTGGGAGGCACCGGGGACAGCAGGGAGCCCAGGGCACCCCAACCCTGAGCATCCCCAGGGGGCACATGGGGCTGGTTCCTCTCCTGCCTCTCTGGATTTCGGAGCAGACCTTTCTGTAGTTTCCTGCGAGCCCATCCCAGGGGTGGCTGGGCTGGAAATCCCCTGAGGGCACGTGGGGGTGATGCAGGAGATCCCCCGTGCCCCTCACTCCTATGCACCCATCCACAAACTGCAGGTTCTTCATTCCTGACCTTCCTCCTCTGCCCTGACCTGAGGCTGCTGGAGGTCTGGGGGCAGCCCATGGCTGGATCCAGCTGTGGTGTTTCCTACGGAGGTGGCAGGGAAATCCTCTCCTGGGCAGGAGGGGTTCCCTTGTACCCTTGTGGGCCAGAAATCCCCCTGCACCCTGCCAGGGCTTGACAGCCAGCGTGGGTCTGGCTGGTGGCTGCTGGAGCATCCTGCTCCCGACCAGAGGGGCTTTCCCAGGGACTGAAACAGCTCACACTGCCACCACTGCCCCTCCCTGTGGGACACTGGATGGGACACTTGGGCCTTGGTGTCACGAGGCGGGAAAAGGGGCCCATTGTTTATCTGAAACCTGCCCTCTCCTCTTCCTGGCTGCTCTTTAATGTCACACCACAGCCTGGCAGCCCTTTATCTGCCGTCACATCTCAGCCCCAACTGGAGCAAAGCGTCCTCTTTGCTCTTGCAAAAGTGCTGAGCAAAACCTGAGCTGCTGCATCACCTGCATGGGGCTGGGGGGTAGTGGTGGCTCAGGGTGCTGGTGGAGCTCCCACCTGCTCCCCACCTTGGGTTCTGAGCTCCAGGAGGCTCTGGAGATGCTCCTGGTGATGGCACTGCACCCTGCAACCTCGTGGAGCTGCAACAGGCCGTGGCTGGGACGCTCCAGTGCCCAAGAAGGAGGTGACAGGATGCTCAGGACAGACCCTGCATCCCACATTCCAGCTGGGAGAGGTGTTGGAACGCATCAGGCTGCTGCTGGTGTCCCCACATCATCACTGCCACCTTCTGAGGGCCCAAACCAAGCCGAGAGCGAGGCCAGTCCTGACGTCCCGCACTGGTGTCACCCCCAGCCGGGACACAGAGCCACAAACACCTCCATCCCCAAATTCCACCCCTGGCAGGAGGGGAAGCTGCTCACTTCAGGGCCTCAATCCACCCCCTCCCCTCCGTGCCAGGGGGGTCCCAGCGAGCGTGGCACCAGGGAAAGGGGTCTCTGGGGGGGGACACTCCCTCTGCGCCCGCAGCCTCTGCCGGGTGCCTTTCATCCGGCGGCTTTCAAAGCGCTGGGAAAACCCCGGGGGAGAGCAGCCCGTGCCCCCTGGGAGCAGGGTGAGAGCGAGACGCGGCACCCCCCGACTCCCAGGGGGGGCTGGGGCTGTCACTGATGTTCGTGGAGCCCCGGGAGAGGCGCGGGATGAAAGGAACCGGAGGAGGCAGAGCCGCCGTGGGGCTACAGGCGCCGGCCCCGGCTCTCGCCCCGTGCGTGGGGCTGGGGTTTTTCCTGACCTACTTTCCCACCTGCCATGGCACCGGTTGTGCCCGGTCGTCCTGGGTAGGGAAAGCCCCAGGGCAGCCGCCGGGGTGGCAAAGGGGGTGATGCACCGGCAGGATATGGGGTCTGGGGGTCTGGATGCCCCCCTGCACCCCAAATCCAACCTGAAGCAGGTGCCCCATCCTGGCATGGCCACCGGGGTGACATCCCTGTGCCAGCCATCCCAAATCACACCAACTGGCTGCCAGGACCAGGGACTGTGAGTCACCGGGATCAGGGAGCTGGGAAGGGAGCGGGATGGGCTGGAGGGGCCAGCCAGGGAGCCGAGGTCGCAGTGCCACTGTCCCCTCTCCCTGCCACAACAATACAGCGTTTCATCCGTGGCTTGGTCCGTTTTCAAGCTCGTTTCCCGAGGATTATATCATCACACTCGGCCCTTATCTGAGGAAGGGGAGTGCCCGCTGACACCCACACGTGCCTGGCTGCCTGATCCAGGGGAAACTGAGGCACGAGGCACCCTCTGGGCTTGGGGAGCTCGGCATCCCTCTGACCCCATGGCTCCCCCAGCGCTGCCACTGCCCACTGCCCCCCCTTTAAACACTGGTTCCCTCCTCCCCTGGCTGTAATTTATCAGTCTCATCAGCGGGAATGTTCTCCTGATAGGAGCCCTGATGCTTCTCTGCCAAGATTAATGATGTCCCGGCGGAGGTGGGCGGGAGGGAGGGAGGTCGGTGGCTGCTGCTCTGGTCACCATTAAGTGACACCCAGGGGCTCAGGCCGGGACCATGAGCTCCCCCCGCAGCCCTTCGCTGCCTCCCGTCCCAGCCACAGCCTTTCCCTCCCTGCTGGGGCCCAGTCCAACCCGATTTTCCAGCTGGGTGGATCGGATTTGAGGAGCACAAGGTCGGCTCGTGAGTCAATGCTGCTGCCCCGATCCCGAGCAGGAGCTGGAGAAGGGATGGAGCCACGGGGAGGGTGGCTGGTCGGGCTCATCCCAGTGCCTGGTCCCCAGAGGGGGCTCACTGCTTCCCTGAGGCAAAATTTCCAGGAGGAGAAAGTCCACATTCCCAGCTGTAAAATATCTTTCCAGGGTGGGAGGAGGATTGGGATGCTGGAGCATCTCTCCATTCTCACCGGAGCTGGTGGGCACCAGAACAGGGTGGAAGCAGAGGGAGCACCAGCAGGTGCAATTAAACCTCAGGGTTTTGTGCTAATTAACACTGCCCCTCAATGAAAGCAGCCAAAGGGACTTTAATTCCCCCGTACCGCAGCTGGGGTCTGCCGGGTGCCTGAATTCCCCGGGCCGAGGGATTTTCCCGTGGCAGCTCCTGCCGCCGGACCGAGAGCTCACGGCAGTGCCCCCGCCCCGGGGATGCCACGGGTGGCTCTGACATTTCGCACACACCACCACAGACTCTTATCTTGCATCTCCCCAAAAATGCAACCGCGGCCTGTGACACTCCTGGCTGGGAGGGGGAAGTGGGGAGAGCGGGAGGAACGGCGGCAGGGACACCCCAAACACCCCCACCCACGTCCCCAGCGGGGACAGAGCCGGTGCTTGGTGGCAATTTAGCGGCCAAAAAAGTGGAGTGAATCAGCCTCCAGTGGAGAAACTGAGGCCCTGAGAGAGCTCTTTGCCCGAGGTCACTCAGAGCCGGCTGGTGCCAGTGTTGATCAGAAACGCTCACGGAGAAGGATCAGGATGGTGTGT